CACAAGACCTACGAAGCTAGTCTTCACGCAGATAGCGACAGACTAGTCCCAATGACCAAGTTATACATTAGCAATCGAAGAGAGATACAACACTATGGTCACTCACCTAGTCCCAATGACCAAGAGGTCGAGATGGGGACTAGGGAGCGCCTAGGGGGGTCCTTATATACTAGAGGGGCTGCTTAGCAACCAAGGACAAGGCGCGAGAGCGAGGCAGTGAAGATGACAAAAGGGGGAACAAAGGGCGAGAAAGAAAAGGCAAGGGCATGGCGATCACGGGAACGTAGCATGCGGCTGTGGGAACGTATCTACAGTGTCCAAACTGGGATGAGCTAGGAAAGGAAACGGTCCGGAAATGGAAGGTGGGCGTCAAAGGGAAGGGAATGGGCGGCAAAAAGGGGCGTCTGTCCAACGTCCGTGACATCATACAAGCATGAAACAAGTTCGCAAGGGTGCGACAACGTGCGGCCTTGTTGTTGATGTGCTGTAGACGAGAGGTGGGGAGGTATGCGAGAAGAATCTGTCCGCGGCGAGAAGGCTTGCAGCGAATATCCTTTGGCAGGTTGCCCAGCGTCATATAGACGGGATATGCGGACTTGTTCCCGATAAGGGTAAGCTGCGTCTTGTCTGACGAGATGATGATGGGGATGACCGTTGCACCCGGTTGTTCCTTCTCAAGCTGTTTCTAAAGGCTGATAGTGGATGGTTAGAACGGATGCTTTGCAGTACAACACTATCGCTCTACAAACCTGAGTAGCCCACCACCATTGTCCTGTGTTCATGTCGAAGTACACCCTGGCTGTCTTGTTCTCGTTGGTGTAATGTCGCTCCGGAACGAGAAGAAGGAGTCCTGCAAAGTCCGGGTCCCCATAAAGCGCCTCCACGCACTTCAGAATATCTCGATAGAAGACCTCAAATGCCTCGCCAGCAACGACAATCTCATGGCGCTCAAAACAAGGACGTGCGGAGGGGAGTTGCTGTCACAGCCGACGAGCTGTGCCACCAGATAAACAAAGACAAAGCTTACTGGTGAAGGGGTTGGTGCTGAGAGCGAAGCAACCACAAGTGACACAGCAAGAGATGATGCAAAGAAGTAGATTCCCTAGACTAGAAGGGGCAGTGAGAGGTAGGGCTGCTAGCTACCTACAGAGGAGATGGGTGATCGACGAGAAGATCAAGTCTGAGGTTCCCTGCCTCAGATTCTCTACTATATATACTAATACAACGGTGCACAGACCAGGTACCTATTGACCATCGTTTGGTCAGAGTTCTCTGCCTCATGTCCTACCCTCTGACCTGCCTCATGGTGACCTTACGACTAATACCTAAGTCGTGCCGAGTCTGGACTCCTTCCAATGAGTAAGCGCTCCTGCTGTCACATCAGTCACCTGCCAGTGAGTGAGGATGGGCGCTCCTGGCCGTCACGAGGTCTGGGGTTCGATCCCGGCCCCTCCACTTTCCGATACGAGTTGTCCGTGGTCAAGGTGAGCGTCTGTCCTGGTTCACATGACCCCCAGGTCACGTGGCACGAGAAAACTGTGACAGTTGCTCGTTGATGATCCGATTAAGGCCTCGAGTGTTTTCATCAGTAAAAACGAATTTCTACAGAGCCGCATGCCATGGCGATGTAGGCTACGTCAGCTCTATAGCACAGGGCGCTAGGTATGTAGACATCTGTAGCGCTCAGTAGTCAGCTCGATTTTTGGGACTGCCTGTTGTGATCGGCAACCCTAGCAAGGCACATTTGTAGCAAGACCTGATACTTTGTAGTTGAAATTGAAGCAGGAAAAGTTTCAAAACCGCCCATTCTCATCGAGCGTAGCAGATGGATTTTGCGAAGTCAGCTCGCACCGGCCCTAAACACGGGCGTCTATACCCTGTTGCTCTGCCCGACGCCCTTGCTTCTGGGTCTTGCCTTGTACAATCCCTTCGTTTGCCTGTGTTCTCTTCCGTTCCTTATTCCTGCTCACTCTGGGTTTTGTCTCGAACGTGATATGTTTTGCTTAAGTCGGCAAGTCGAAGATCCTTTCCGTAGCCTCCTACCAACTTAGCTGCTCTGTGCAAATGACGTGGCATGTCCATCCTCTGTAGGTGTCTCGTATCCTCTCTCATCACCCCCTTTCTTACTACCGATATATGCTGAGCTGTCTCATCTTATATATATGAGGGAGGTAGGTATGTCTGAGAGTCTGATATCCGAGAGAGGCAGGTACGTCTTAAGGTCTGCAGAGGTTTTCGACGTCTGTTGGCATCTACAGCAGGTATGTGGTCCTGTACTGGCGAACCCCCCCTCCCTCCCTCCATCCCCTCCCATTGGTACGTGTCCAAGCTGTCACCAGCTTCCATCCTGCTACGGTCGTAATTAGTGTGGCATGTTGTAGTCATCGTTGGGTGGTTGGGGAAGGAGAGATCTCGCTGGCAGTAGTGCCTACACGTCGTCGAATAGCATACTTGAACTGTATCTAGTTTGTTGTAGTGCAAATCAATATATTTTCGTGAATCATTCAAAATTGTCGCTGTTCTCTATTGCGATAAGAAGTCATCTATGGCAGGAATATACGAGCTACGGCGTATCTACATTGACCTACAGAGCCGTGGGCGGGCGCTATGTAGGCCATGTACCCCCGAGGTATGCTACGCGACTATCCCAGCTATGGCGTCTACTTAGCCCGATGTAGCACACTGATTTTTTTCTGATGTTTGTAAGACAACGCAAGCCGATTTGCAACCTAGCATAGCCTTGATCAGTGAAACAATTGACATCTAGGATGTGCGAAGTCACAGACCTCCTCAATCGCAAGGAGTTCGTCGAAAGCGGTGGAACCAGGGCCATGCATCTTGGCCCACATCCCAACCTTCCAATCTCGCTCAGAGGCAAACGGAGCATAGGGGTTGGGATTGTTTGGATTGTCGACGACCATGCGATAGCTCTCATGAGCTGTGTGGCGTAAATTGGAGGGTCCGGTTTCATCTAAATCTGAAATTGGGGCACCTGCGGTTGTGATCGGAAAGCGAACAACAAATGTCTTGCGATGCGCAGCATTCTCAATATCCCTCCGTTCCTGAAAAGATGGAGAGAATGCGCAACATCATGCACAGTCAGGTATCCGTCAGTATGAACTCAACAAAGTTGAACAGCTGTATCACTTACCTCGGAAGCGACCGAAGGTGTCGCCAAATGCACAGTTGAAGACGGTTGGTGTGGGGGTACACTGTTAGGGCGTAACGCGCGAGGTTCCGGCTCCCATCCTACCTCGTTCAACTCCTCGTCAGTTTCTTCGTCACTGGTCAGTGGTCCTGAGGCGCGCTCGTCCTCGTCCTCGTCCTCGTCCTCGTTCTCAAAATAGTGCGCATCGTAGTCCCCAAAGAAATCACCTTCAAAAGGCATTGGCTCGGCATCCATATCGACGTCCTCGATTTGAGGAAGTTGGATAGGATCGGGGGAAGTCGCATCGAAAGGTGGGCTAGAAGGCAGAGGAGACTGATAGAAGTGAGAGGTTCGAATCGCAGCACAGGCGGGCTTCTGAGTTTGCGCCAAGTGTTTTGAGTGTCCGGAGGAACTGAACCATTTGCGACATCCTGGACACTTCTCAGTGGCTAGTGCGGTACGTGAGGAAGCCATAGATAGCAACGACAGTGTGAGTGTACAGAACAATATGAAACTAGCTACAAATACATGCGAAACGCACTAAGACTTGACCCTCGATGGTTGGGACACAGCCTGGGATGAGCTTTGATGTCCATCGTCAGCCACCAGCGGACCTAAAGAGGAAATTCAGACTCTGCCCATCGCCTGATTTCGGAGTCAGCTACAAATCCCTTGCCATCTTGGACGACGTGGAATTTGTTCTTACCATTCTTTGCTTCTTCTCCCACATCTTTCTCACTCGCACACGCCGCTCTTTCTGTTTTCACGTTCCTTTACCAGTTATCAATGTCAAACCGCGCATCTCGTTCGAAAACGAAAAAAACGGGGCCGTACCGCAGCAGTCGTCCCCTGAGACGATGGTTGGGGCCGCTTCTCCAGTCGAGGAAGGCATGCCCCCTACTGCACCTCAGGGTCTGAAGCCTCGTCCTCGCCGGAAGGTTGCTAAAGCAGAGGCAAACGTCGGCGTCGCAGGTGCGTGAATGCAAATATCACATAAATGAGCTAACTCACCGCTGGCTTAGCAACTGCACTCGCGGCCAAATCCACATTACGCCAGTCCATCGAGACGTCCAAGGCAGGCAGCGCAGATGTTGAGAACCTGTACTACACCGCCAAGGGTGAGTCCGAGTTGTTACTAAAGCCTAGCGATACTGAAGTACCTCGTCAGCTCCCGATGTTGTTGATGGGGCGAAGAGTACTCGCAAGCGAATACACTCTGACTCCGAGTCCCTCACCAGGGCTGGCACTGATGTAAATGAGGATGTATCCCCGACGTCCATCGACGCTCCGCCAGCAAAGAAGACAAAGAAGCTAGCAACAAGTAAGCGAGACAGCCATGGCTCATGAAAGCATCCCCTTCTGACCTTCTTTAACCACCTCATCCGCGACGCGACCAATGCGATTCAACCTGCAACTGACAGTGAGTGCCAAGCGCGACAACGCAGTGACCACAAACACACCGGATCAGAGGACTAGTACGCGCGGTCAAGAAGCTCGTGCCTCGCAACGTAAGCCTATCACGACGCGATTCAGCTGAAATGTACTACAAGAGACTGAACAAGTGCTCACAGTGACGGGCATGGCAAACGCCAGCGGAACAACCATTATAACAGATCCTGTAGGCAGTATGAGTGTGGAAGATGTGGCAGATGATGATGAGGCTGAACACTCTGACCATGATGATGAGCCCTCAGCCCTAACGCAAGAGCAGGAGCCGGGCCAAGACGACGAAGCTCAGTCCGACTCTGGAGAGGAGTCAGAATGCGACGACACACACAAGCTTGCAGCCCATCTGGTCGCTGAAGTGCGTTCAGTATCATTCAATTGGTTTGAGGTGTTGGTGAATAACCACTCACCTCGATTGTTTCCCCTCCAGACACCTGTGTGGCATGAGTGTCACGGACGCTGGACAGACGCCCCTTTTTGCCGCCCATCCCCCTCCCCTTGACGCCCACCTTCCATTTTCGGACCACTTCCTTTCTTAGCCCATCCCAGTTTGGACACTGTAGATACGTTCCCACTGCCACATGCTCCGTTCCCGTGATCACCATGCTCTTGCCTTTTCTTTCTCGCCCTTTGTTCTTCCTTTGTCATCTTCACTACCTCGCTCTCGCGCTTTGTCTTTGGTTGCTAAGCAGCCCCTCGAGTATATAAGGACCCCCTTAGGCGCTCCCTAGTCCCCATCTCGACCTCTTGGTCATTGGGACTAGGTGAGTGATTATAGCGTTGTATCTCCCTTCGATTGCTAATGCATAACTTGGTCATTGGGACTAGTCTGTCGCTGGTTGCGTGAAGACTAGCTTTCGTCGGTCTCGTGCCTTCGTGCCAACCACCGCTCTGCCCGTCGAGTTTTCTGATACGTTTATCCCTCTCACTCTCTCTTCTCCCCTTTCGGCTCCTCGCCACTCGCCTACGGGGTCGTCGCCGAACGTCGACCCGAGTCTACGCGCCTAGTCCG